CATCACAATTACATTTAAGATATATGAAATGTTTATTTTAGATAGGAAGAATGTTATTTTAGATATCTGACATGTTAACTATGACTAGGAAGAAATCCATTTAAGACATTTGGATTACATATTCAGTCAAGCAAAAAAATGTCAAAACGGTCTTTCATAACCTACTTTTTCATTAAATACTGGCTCTATTGTTGGCTCTTTAAATATAAAACACCTTTTTTGGGAGACCTAGATTATTGTCCTACAGTCAGTTCCGGTGTAATCTATTTTTAGTTTATATATCACAAGGCAAAATATAAATAAAAAATACAGAGGACATGACTTGGTGTCCTCAATGGTAATTACAGCTCTGTAAATTTTACATTTTATTTTTTAATTAACACCTATCTCAAAATGTACTTTTTATCTGGACTAAATAAAAAATTTAGAGCTTCTTGCATTTGGTTTCAACTAACTAACCATTAGTTGCCGTTTAACACCGCTAAATCCTTTCCTGGTAATAATATGTGAGATTCTCAAATAAATAAAGGTGGTCATAAAGTCATTTCTATCAACAACTTATCTTTTAAAAAGAGCAAACTGCCAGGGAGTGGCAGCCTAGTGGTTAGGGCATAGACAATTGTGCATAGAGCTTGGAATCCTGAGGTTCTGGGTCCAAGCCCCACTCCCACTCCCACAGCCATTCTTAACCCCACACTACTCCCAGGGCACTGCACAATGGCAGCCCACTGCTCCCTAAGGGGATGAGTTAAATGCGGAGAGTTAATTTCATTGCTTTGTACTTGTGACAGTGTAATGACTATATTAGCTGGAAGAAAAAACCAAGAAAAAACCCCAACAACACATGAAACCTATATGAAATAAATTGGAACATCAAATCATGACTATTCACGGAGGGTGGGGGGTTACCATTAGACAATATTAGGCTCAAGTTCTTGGGGGCCCCAAAAAAATCTGTTTACATGTATGTTGAATACAACTATTCCTTATTTGTGCACATTAACTATGTTTTTGATTAAAAAAAAATGTTCTCTAAAATGCCATCAGAACGCTTATAATATTAAGTGTGTCTCAGGCCCTTCAGGGTCCACCACATTGGATTAGTCCATTTGCTACACATGTTCAGTAAGGTCTCCCCTCTCTTCCACAATGTGGCTCTCCTATATCTCCACAGAGACAAAGGCAGCGCTATTAGGGAACCACCTGAGACCTGGGAAGCCAGGTAACTGGTGGGAAGCCATTAGAATGCACCGTTCTGCCGAACGACAGCGTTCTGTGGCACGCAAGGCCTCAGTCAATCCATTCCCCCTCTCAGTCACCCCACCCAAATGTATGTGACATATTGTGATGAACGGCTGTACAGAAACTGAAATTTCGATTACAATGTAAACTGTAGTTGACAATAAAGAAGTTTTGATTGATTTATTGATTGAAACAGACAGCAGCAAACCGTTTAAAACCAAAAATGCAAAGAGCAGTGTTGCAAACTTAGAGCTTTTGTTGCTGTATTTAGCGATTTTTCAAACCCCTCTAGTAATTTTATTTATATTTTAGCCAAATTTAGCAACTTTTTTCTGCTACTGGAGATTTCCGCGGCAACATATAAAAGCACAGAACTCTGCTCTCCGGAGCAAGTAGATTTGTAACCCCGCCTCCTGCTCTCCTCTCTCTTGTCTGCTGTCATGATCCATGCAGCTATTATTTCATACAAATGAAAAGTGGAGAACAGATCAGCAGATTATGGCTTGTCTACAGTGAAGAGAAGGACTGTGTTATTTACACTTGCCATCACCTTTTTGGAAACAGGAAGGAGAAATCGGCTAAGTGGGCTTAGTGACTGCAAAAAATCTTTCATTCCTTTTAAGACAGCATGAAAAGTCAGCTGAGTACAAAACATGGAGAGGAAACCAACAAAAAAAAAAGGGACAAAAAGAGAGGGACAAAACGTAGAACAAATTATGTATGTCTATTTTATTCAAATTTCTGTATCTGTACAATGGGTCTGTTTTATGTTTTGTCTTCTCAATTCAGAAGGCCCCCTGCATGTCTTTGCCTAGGGCCCCTAATTTCCTAGATCCGCCCCTGACTAGTCATATAGTAGTTATCCAAAAATATCAATAATAAGTTAAGTGGATGAACAGAATTCAGTATAAAAAGCTTCACACGCAGGACAGAAGAATTAGCCTTAAGACGGCTTTGAAGCTAAGGCCATTTAAGCTTTTACAATGTGTGAACAGTGGCTGGAGTCATAGAGCCACGTATCAAGATATAATCAAGAACTAAACACAACGACTAAAGCTATTACATTCTTTGGCTTAAGCCTCTGTTGAAGAGGAGACAATGTCAGAGGAGTCTTATCATTAGAAAAAAGAGTGGACTATGCACATGGGTACAAAGTTCTCTTTGTCTATTAAAGTTTTATTTTCTTTATTGTGTCACCTAAAGGTTACAGTCCCACAGTTTGTAGGGGGAGGGTTACGTTTTCTTACTTATTAATGATGTTAGAGTCATATCCAAAGTAAATTAATTTTAAGTAATCACAGCAATCTTCTAGAAACTTCATCCTTCTGTCTGCTTACAAGCTTCATTGTGACGCTGAACTAACTTTAGAGGTAAAGGTACCAACGGCTGCTTTATTGACTTTCATTTTTTGTTTGTGTGTTTTTCTGTATTTTGTTAAGAAGGATGTGAGATACACCAAACTAAACAATGCAAATGAGCCAAAGCGGCCTGAGCTTCTTGGACACAAGCAGAGCAAGGTTAATCACGAATTTGATGGAGTGGGCTTATTGAGATACACTGAATGAATTAATATACTATACCATAGGTACACTTTTGTGTAAAAGTGTAAAAAAAAAAAAA